GCTGTTGAGTCAGTTCTGAATCCTGGCAACGTTCGGACATCGGAACTGTCTTCACCGTAGTTGGTGAGTGCGAGTCCCTTAGGTGCCTGCCTGCGGTGTCACTTCCTCGCATGGAGGACTGTCTCGGTTTGCATTGACCCGCACTTCATCAAGCAATATCCTGGTCTTTCTCGTGGTATATGTCACCTGTACTATATCTTGATGGCATCATTGGTAACTTACTTGTGACTGCTGAATATAAATATATATATTATATTCCAGTAAGATCTAGATTCCCCGGAGATAATCCAGGTGTGCCCCCAGGCTTTGGGGACTCTTTAGCCACCACAAGCCTAGGCACTCTTCACTTGGCAAGGCCCTTTCCATTCTGCCTCTTTTCTGTTGGGGCCCCTCCCTGAAAGTTGAGATGTCCATGGAGGGGCTAGAGCCAGCAATGTGCTTGCCCCACCAACCCCTGGTTTAATTTTATACGGGATTATACTAAGGTTTAGTACGTGTGGTGGGTGGAGGAACTAGAAAGGACAAACACCCGGTTTAAGAGCTCCAGACATAGGAAGATAAAATCCTCATTAGGAAAATACATTTTCTGCTGCTTGTGAATTAAACTCTTCATTAAGCCACAGCTTTCGTTGAAACAGCCTTTTCTGTGGTGGGGAGATTGGATTCCCTGGCCCTTCTCCTCTTCACGTCCTTGCCAAACTAATGATTGGGGTCAGGGTTCTGCACATGGTGGGACGTGCCTGGAGACGGATCCCGTGAGCAATACATGTGAAATAGGCTTGTTTGCTTCAGATAACAGGCAGTCTTACTTTCCCTTGGTTTTATTGTGCTTCAAAAATGCCACTAATTAAAATGTAAACTATGGTTGATTTTCTACTGTTAAGATGATCTAATTTTAAAGTTTTTATTTGCCTGGCATGATGTTTTATAATAATGAGCGCAACCCAACCCACTGCTGTCCCATAATTCTGACTGAGAGCAACCCCGAGGACAGGGTGGAACTGCCCCTGTGGGCTCCAGAGGCTGGGACAGTGTGGGGAGTAGAAGTACACAGCTTCCTCCCGCCGCATGGCTGGTGGATTTGAACTGCTAACTTTGTGGTTAGCATGTAACCAGGGCTTCTCATGTTTGATACTAGGAGTTGCAAATCAACATGCTTTGTGTGAGAGGCACAGTCAGATGGTTAGGCGGTCCTGGTTCATGCTCAATAATTCCTGGGTGTTGCAACGTGTATATGAGATTAAAGACATTGTTGGTGGATTTCCACATTCTTTTGGATCACCTTTCTTTGGAATGCGTATAAATATGATTCCTTTTCAGTGGTTTGCTAGTTAACTGTCTCCCAAATGTCTCTGCATGAATGAGTGAGCACCCTCACTGCATTTGTTTGTTGAAACATCTCTATTGGAATTTCATTAGTTCCTGGAGACCTGTTTTTCACCAATGTCTTCACTGCTACTTGAATTGCTTCCTTCAATATCATTGATTCTTAAGCAGATACTACCTCCTGAAAGGTGGACTGTCAACCAGTTCTTTTGAGTACAGCTGCTTCTGTGGAGACCTTTCATGGTCTTTCTTTCTTGTTGATTTTTAATCTTTTGGTTTCTTTGTGCATGATGTCTCCACGTATGATTGGTGTCTAGACATTAGTGAGCTGAAATGGACAGATATTGGTCCATATTCCAGTGACTCGTGCCATGGTCTGCTCTACTATCCTGGGTCTGACACAGTGAAGAGGAAGGGTGTCTCATTCATCATTAAAAAGAATAGTTCAAGATCTGCCCTTGAATACAACACTGGCAGTGCTAGCATAGTATCAGTACACCTACAGGGAAGACCACTAATGTCAAAGATGAGGAAATCGAGGATTTTAACCAACTTCCTTTCTAACCAAATACCTTTCCCCCCAACTATGTAAACAGTGTCTGTCAACGTGGACCCTACTAGCTGGAATACATGGGACTCAAATAGTCTGTGTTTGTAGAAAGAGTTGCTGGGACATCTCAGTATCACCAGTCAGAGCAAGGCTAGGGGCCAGCTAGAGAAGAAAGTATCAGTTGCTCCTATGAAAGCTTAAGTTGAACCCGAAGAAAACTAAAAAACTCGCGAGTGCTGAATTAGGTCTCATTTGAACTTGGAAGCCACCTCGAGATTAGATTTGACCTATAGAACACTAACGACTGAAGGCTAGACAAGTGTGGAACGACATGAAACCATCATACATCATACATGAAGAAACCAGAAAGTCATTGAAACCATAGCAAGGAGTTGTGCTTCAGCAGCTGTAGACAGAAGACAGTGGACAGACGCTGTGAAGAAATATTGACATCAAATTGCCAAACTGCCTTTATTGTAAAATTACAGCTTCCCTATTCCGAGAATGCTGAAGACGACTTTTCTACTTAAAAGTGATAATAATAGTTAATGATAGTTATTTCTTAATAGCCTTACTTGGCCAGATGAAAAATGTTGGCAACCCTGTTTTGTTGTTGTTATTGTTAGTTGATTCCAACTCATGGTGACCCCCTGTGTGTGGAGTAAAATTGTTCCATAGCTCTAGAAGACTTTGAACTTCCAGGAGCAGATCACCAGGCCTGTCCTCTGCGGCACCTCTGAGTGAGGTCAAACCACCAGCCATTGGGCTAGTGGTCAACTGCAGAGCCACATGTGCTACCTAGGGATTCCCAAGCCTAATTTACAGGTCCATCACACACAGCTAGACTTAAGGCAAGTTAGGAAGATTAAATTGCATCTTCTTTGACATCAAAAGCCAACCAACTTTAGGTGTAATCCATGAAAATGTACCTGAAAGCTTTGGAGTGATCACTTATAATAAAATATAACGATAAATTATAATAACGTTAATAGAGTCACAAGTAGTGTAATGTCAGGGACAAGCAAAGGGGAAACTTTTGAAAAGGAGAATGCGGGACACAGTCTTCTGTTTTCAGAACTAGGCAGCCAAAAAGGGCCATCAGCTGGCACAAGCATTCTCACAACAACACAGGAATCTCCCTCCAAGGGCTCTTGAAAAGAGAAAAGCTGAGTCCTGAAGTTGTGACCATGGAGAAGAACCCACCTGGAGCAGGGTGCCTGGATGTGCCCCGCCCCAATCCTCTTCTTACTGTGGGGAGGTCTCAGTGATTACCCACCTCTCCAGTGCACTGGCTGAGTGGTGCTGCTATTTGATAGTTCTTTAACACATCTCTCTAACCAAACAACTAATTCCGTCAAGTCAATGACAACTCATAGTAACCCTATGAGGAGGGTAGACCTGCCCCTGTGAGTTTCTGAGACTGTAACTCTTTTTCCCCCCTCCAAAATCACTTTATTAGAAGCTAATTCAGATATCATATTGTTCCACAGTTCAATCACATTATGAAATATCATACAATGGCTACCACAATTTGTTTCAAAACATTATCTTGACCTCCAGTGGTCATGTGAATTGCAGGCACCAATCTAGAAGCACCCTGTGGTACACTGTCAGCTGCTCCCCTACTGCCCACCTCAGACAGGTGGTGAATGCTCCCATGCTGCTAGATTAGGCACCACACAGCATGCCTGCCATGTCCTCCTGGATATAGCGAAACAAAACAATAAAGAACCAGGCTGAAGCAACAAACAGAAAGGCAATTAATACAGTGAGACCTTGGAGACAGCAGACACTATCAAACCTTATATAGTAGAAGACATGGTCGCTCAAGAAATCAAGCAAAACAAAGGGACAGGAAACATTCTTCAGAAAGAAATAATATAGAACGATCTGATTAGGAATTCAAAATATTTTTATATAGGATCCTCAAAGAGATCAAGGAAACACAAGTTCCAGCAAACACAAACAAAATTCTAGAAGAATTCCAGAAACCAATACAAGAACAAAATGAGAAAATAAGACAATTTGGAACCGTGAATAAAGAAATCTAGATTAACAATAAAACGTCAGAAACATATAACTCAATGTAAGAACATAGAAAGAAACATTGAATTAATGAGAGTTAAATTAACAAACTAGAGGACAAATCCCTTGATACGAATTTGATTGAAAAAAAATCAGGAAAAAAGAATGAAGAAAATCTGATTATGAGGAATATTATCAAGAGGAATAATATACATGTGACTGGAATTCTAGAATAAGAGGAGACAAAACATAAGTACAACAAATTATTGAATATTTGCTGGCAGGAAATTTCCCTAGTATCATAAAGATAAGAAAACATCCTTCCAAGAGCTGAGAGAAGCCCATTCAGGCTACATCTTAAAAGACTGTCCAACACACAGCATAATAAACCTTTGCAAAACCATAGACAAGGGAAGGGTTCTGAGAACAAGTTTGGAAAAATGAAATATCACAACAAAGGGGCACCAATAAGAATAAGCTCTGATTTCTTGGCAGAAACCATGCAGGCAAGAGTCAAGAAAGAATTGTCAGCCAAGAATCATAACCAGACATTGTTTCTTAAATAGGATGGTGGAGCTAGGACATGTCCAGATAAGCAGAAATTAAAGGAATTTGAAACAAACAGACATTGCTATTGAGTTGATGCTGATGCATAGTGACCCTATAGGGTTGTTTCTGTTGGGAAGGGGAGGGAGACAGCGGTCGGTGTAAGATATGAAAATAATAATTTATCAAGAGGTCATAAGGGTGGGGGGGAGGGGAAAAGATGAGCTGATACCAAGGGTTCAATAGAAAGTAAATGTTTAGAAAATAATGATGGCAACATATGTACAAATATGCTTGATACAACTGATGTATGGACTGTTATAAGAGCTGTAAGATCCCCCAACAAAATGATCTTTTAATAAAAACAAACAAGAATAATGGAATGAGGTTAGGCCTGAGTGGGGAGCGCTGATGAGGGCTCCTGAACTAGCAGATAGGAGCACCTGGCAGCCTTAACCTGCCGAACTGCTGAATGTGATCAGGAACAAAGTAACTATGAGTTGTGGATGAATTAACAGGTTCTACCCTTTCTTTCCTCATTTGTCCAGGGTGGAGATGTCTGTCCAGAAGTTAATTTCTAACAGAACCTCCCAGCAATCTGCATCTAATTCTGATTATACTTGGGAATATGAATATTATGAGATTGGACCAGTTTCCTTTGAAGGACTGAAAGCCAATAAATGTAAGTCCCTGTATATATTATATGTATTTGCTTTCCTGATGGTGCCTGGCTATCAAAAGCTATATAGCATCTGTGGTCTTAAAGGCTTGGAGTTAAACAAGCAGCTATCTAGCAGGGAAGCAAACTATTGTATTAGTCTGGGTACTTTGAAGAAACAAATCCACATCAACTCATGTATAAAAGAGAGTTTTATGTAAAGGTTAAGTGCGCATCAAGAAAATATCCCAATCCAGTGCTGCCCAACCCCACAAGTCCAACATTAACCCATATGTCCAACATCAGTCTACAAAGTCCTCCTCCATCTCACAAAACAGACACAATATTGCCGACTTCAGGAGGAAAGCTGAGTCAGTGAATGTGTAAGCATCTGAGTGCTGGCAGGGGTCTCCACAGGGGTGCTCCAGCACCCAGGGTGGCATCGGGGCAGGTCCATGTGGCTTCTCCTTGGGGATATCTTGTCTTGCCAGCTGAAGCAGGGAACTGCTAAGGCAACTGCACCCTGGTGAGACCATCACAAAGCAAGAGATCCAAGAACTTGAAAGACAAGGCTCACCAAGCCATTTATCCCTCAGCCCTTCAATTAATCCCACATGTGTTTATTGGCCAGGTTGGCACAATAAACTAACTCAAAAGCCCACACAGAAGAAGCACACCACGCTGTGTATCCTGAAGTGTCAATGGGAAGAAGTATCAGAAGTTCAAAAAACATGCATCCAAATTGATATGAAGGGGACTGGATGTAGTGGAGACCCAAAGTCCACTATCAAGACAATCAGTCCCTCTAATAAGGACCTCATAGAAAGTAGAATAGATCCAGTGTGCGGTGTGGCACTGATGAAGCACATAGCTATCCTCTAGTTCTGTAAGATTTCCTCCCCTTCCTGTTGTGGTCCATACATGATATACCTCATTGGTCATGTTAGACTTGTGTATGTTCATTTGTACATTTAAGATCACTCAGTTCATGATAGTCAAGATAGATGGCTCAGAGACTCTAACCGGAGTAATGGTTCCCTGAGGGTATGGGAAGTGGGGTGGAGTGGTGGGGAGCAGGAAGGTGGGAGAGGGGAGTTGATAGCGTTGATGATTATGTAGCCCTACCCAATGGGACTGAACAACAGAACTGTATGGGAAGGGATATATTGGAATGAGTATGTCAATAAAAATATTATTCACCCAAAACAAAACAATATACACTTGCATTCATCTCTGGTGTTCCAAGGGATTCATGTTTCTGACTCCGCCCTCTTCTTGTAGAACTCCGCCCTCTACCTGTTGTTTCTGGTAGGTGCCTTGGAGGTTGCTGCCACCTTCCTTCAGGATGCGGGCTAGTTGCTTGGGATGGGATTTCAAGGTGATTCGAAAGGAGCCCTGGCAGTTTAGTGGATTACCCACCGGATGCTAGTCGCAGGGCAACAATTTCAAACCCCTTGCTTCCCTGAGCGAGAGAGAAGAGGCTGCCTTTCCCTGTAAAGATTTTCCGTCTTAGAAACCCAAAGGAGCAGCCTTAATCAGTCCTACAGGGTGGCTGTGAATCGGAATCGGCTCGGTGGCAGTGGGTTCGATTGTGGTTCAGGTGACTTGGGATAATGAAGAACTTGTGAAAAGAGTCCTTTAGAGGGGAAGAGAAATCAGTGTCCATCTCAGATTGAGGGTGTTTTCTGTTAGCTTATTTTGTTTTAAATTTTGGTGAGAATATGCACGGCAGCCCATATACGCATCCATTCATTGGTACATGCACAATTCAGTCACACTGGGTACTTTCTTCCCAGAGGGCGGCCATTGTTTCACCACCATTGACTGAGTCTCACTGCCCCTGACGCATCTTGTCGTGCTTTAGAGTTACTGTCCAAAATTTGTTCTCATCAGAGCATCCTTTCAAAGAGTGCACATGTGCACGTTAAACATTCTTTCATAGTATAGCTGGGGCTTCTCTCTCTCTCTCTCTCTCTCTCTCTTTCTTTGAGGCAGTGACCATTCCAGATCTTTCAACTATGTGAAAAGTTTATGCTATTTAAAAACAAGAACAGAAATAGAATCTGGAAATTTTATTTGAATAAACATCCTTCCTAGCATCGTGAATGGCCTCCTTCCAACCCCATCAGTTCTCTGTAGCTGTGGCGAGCAGTCCGTCTCTGTGTGTTCATAACAGTGGACAAGAATAACCTGTCATTGCCCTGCCTCTGGTACCGGCAAGGATTGATGGATTGTGTTCACATTATTTGGCTGATATTGATCCAGCACTGAGCAAGAAAATGTGGTTTTGTGCCACTGCCAGGAGATGTGTCTTCACTGTCTCTACTATTGCTCCTCTGAGGGGGATATGTCCTACATTTTGGCTCAAAGCATAAATCATTGACTAAACCAAATTTGCTGTTACCCGGAAACTGAATAGCAATAACTGAAACTGTTTGCTCATTCCTTCCTGACACTGGCTCAGTACTTCTTTGTGGAGTGCTGCTGGTGGCAGCGGCGGCATATGGAATGCATTAGGATAGGCTGTTGCTGATTATTAGATGGGAGCCTGTTGTGGTTGGTGTCTGATATTACCTCCTCATTTACTGAGATCCTCTAGTCTTCCTTTCTTTCTGGGATGACATTTAGGTAAGGACATTTCCTTGTTAGGAAGTAGAGTGGAAATCAATGTGGCTAGGAAGATGGCCCCATATTCCCCTGTAATGTGGACTCTCACAGACTGGGGACACAAGCACCGTATTTGGGTCAGTTTGCCCCTGTCTCTTTCTCTTAATTTCACAGGTACAGGAGATGGAGCTGCTGCTGTAGTTTTGGTTGGTACATTTTCAGAGATAATTTAGAAAAATATTTTATGAACACGTTTAAGAAATTATCTTACCTGAAAGAATTCCTGAAAAATATATGCAGAAAAGTGATGTGTGGCATACTTTGCCTATCATCTGGTTAATAAGGAGAGGAGATGATTCTGTTAGTTTTATGATGTATCATGAAAACAAGACAAAAAATGCCAGGGTGAGTAATTATTGTTCTGGGCTAAGAAGTCTGATAAAAGTAGAGACGCTTAGCTTCAGGGACCTGACAATACAGGAGACACAGAAAATAATAACAACCCAGACATCCAGGAAAATAAAACGATGGCATCAACGAATGCAAGGCAGACACTGGTGTAGTCTCCTGCCTTTAATGTTGCTGTGACTCTGGGCTTCTGCATGTCTCCTTGTTTGCTAAGCAAACTATCAAGTCAATTAGGTGCAATTTCAAAACAATAAGAGCAAGACATTTCAGCGTGTAGCCCTTACAGAGAACAGGCATGGATATCAGTGGTAACGATCTGCCTTGTCTTCATGAAGAATATTTGGCAACAGGACTTGTGGTGTAATGTTGGACTCAGGTCCTCTGCCTGTTAGGATTCTTACCTTCAAAGCATCTTTCATCACAGAATCAGACTCTCGTGGTTTGTGAATTCTTCTTTTGTCCTCATTTTGAGTCATGTCTTGAATCTGACAGCTTATCAGAAATGGACATATATATGACATACATTTGGCACTTTCAAAGTGGACATTCATTCATTCAGCACAAATATATTGAGCATCTGTTATTAGTAGAACCATTTTAAGCACTGGAGACAAAACAATGAAGAGAAATCACAAAAATACTTCCTCTTATCATGTTTGCATTCCAGTGAGAGACAGATCATTAACAAGTTCAATAAATAAAGTAGGTCAGAGAGTGAGGACCCAAAGGAAAACTAGAGGAAGCCCAGGAGAATGGGGTGTGGAGGGGAAAGTACAGCCGCGGAAGGCCGTACTGAGAAGGCGAGTTTGAACAGTATCCTGGAGGAAGTGAGGGAAGACTATACCAGAAAAGGATCCACACAAGAGAAAATGGGAGCATTCCAGGAACTGGGATGAGGCCAGTGTGGCCCCTCAGGTGAGGGGCTCAGGCAGAAAAGCAGGAGACAAAGTCAAAGAGGCAGCAGTGGGAACTTACGTATTCTGAGCACATTGATTTCTTTAGGAAAAATTGTTTGAGGGTTTTGAGCAGAATGCCCGGTGCCATTCATTTTACAAAGACTGCACTGCAGCTAGATTGCAAATGGGTTGAAGGGATGCAATCAGAAACACAGACCTGCAAGGGAGACTACCTGAAAAGTTACAATGGTAACTTGAACCATTGAGGGAGTTATGAGAAGTGCATACACTGTAGATTTATTTGGAAGGTCCATCCGACAGAACTGGTCCACGCATTGGCTGTGGGGGCTAAAATAACAGAGGAGTTCAGGGAGGCTTGAAGCTTTGCGATCGAACTAACTGGGAAGACGAAATTGCCATTCATTAAGGTGGGGAAGAAAACGGGAGGGTGGGTTTTTTAAGAGTGACATCAGGAGCTGATTTTAGGACCTATTAAGTGAGAGATGTCTACCAGACACCCCAGAGGACCTAGGAGGGAGTTAGGGGGTGATGGTGTACCATTTTGAGACGGCTTTGAGAGTGACCAGCACATGCATGATATTCAGTCAGGAGAGTGGATGCATGGATGTAGACAGAAAATTGAAGAGGCCCGAGAATGGAGCCCTGGGTCTGCGAAAGTGTAGAAATTGGAGGCAGGGGAGAGGCAGGGGAGGGAGCAGCAAAGGAGACTTAGAAATGGACAGAAAGGTAAGAAGAAAGCCAGGTAACTGTGATTTCCTGTTACCTAGGTAGAGGTTTTAAGGATGAGAGAATTGTGGTAAATGCTGATATTAGGTCAAGTTAGTGGAGGACTGATATTTGACCCTTGGAGTTACAGTGTATACCTTACTGGAAGTCTTTACAAAAGTCATTTTAGTGGAGACACCAAAACCCGGACCAATGCCATCAAGTCTCTCCTGGTACCTAGTGACCCTGTGGAGGATTTCTGAGGCTGTGTATCTTTCTGGGAACAAGCAGCCTCGTCGTTCTCCTATCGAGTGGCTCCTGGGTATGAGCCACTAATCTTGTAGGTGGAGGATCAAAGGCTGATGGAGTCGGTTTAGAAAATTTGGGAATTGATTCCGTTCCTTATGGTTTTTTTTTTGGGGCATTGATCCAAAGGGAGTCAGTTCTGAAGGGCTCATCTGGGTGAGAAAGTACTTGGAGAAATAGTAACAAAAATCAGAGTCGGCAAGGAGACACTTGTACATTCTAACAGGCCCACTCTGACTGCTGAGTCAATAGTGAGGACCAGATTCTATGCTGTCTTCATAGACCAACTTGTAGAAAATGCCAGGTATACACATGGGTCAGTCAGCAAGAAGCTGGGCCATCAGGATAATCAGCAGAGCTAGAGCTTTATGAGGTGTGGAGTGAGGTGTCTTGTCAGGAACACAGGACAGGCAAGTCTTGGAACATCACTGCTGGTTCCTTTCCAAGAATTCATAACCTCAAACAGACCCCACTGCCTCGGGAACTGGAAGAGGCATAAAGACAGTGCTGGTTCTTGTGTCCTGAACCCTCTCTTTCAAATTATTTATCCTTGTTTTTCATACAACCACAAAATGGATAAAGGTCCCAATTTATTCTCGAGAGCTGGAGAAAAAGTGGGATGAGCTAGTTCATAGCTACTCAAGCTATCCATGCCCTACAGTTGGAAAGAGAATGCATGACGAATAAGATCGTACCAGTGCACATCACGCACCTGTTAGCTTTCAGTTCTCTTGTTTCATTAAAGGCTAGATAAGGGGAAATTATTTTACGATGACACAGTAACCTTGGAATCCTTCTGGACAATTTTTCACACCCCCTTAAGGGTCTTTAAATTATTCACTTTCTAGTTAAAAGGGACTGTGGTTGCTTGGCTTGGTTGGGAACCCCTTTGAAAGGCTTCCTTCACTCTCTGGCTTCATTGCATCTCTACTCTGACTTCCTCCCGGGCAAGGGTGCTTTGGGGAAGACCGGGGCGCAGTGCTGCTCACTTCAGTGCAGTGCCTGTGTTAATTAAACTCGGTTGTCACTGTAACTTCAAGAGGCTCGGGGTATTCTAAGGATGAGCAGCGGATCATTGATGTCCCCTGTGAAGTGCTCAGAGTGAGAAAGTGCTGAGGGCCCACGGTCATGTGATAGATAAGGGGGAAATGAATAGCAATAATTCGAGGAAGCAAAACTTTTTTTAAAGGGGAAGGTGAATAAACAGGCCTACTTAAAGCATGATGTGATGGAAAACTGAGATGCTATATTTTCAAGGAAGTATTTGGAACATTGGGACAAATTCTGACCACAGGCACTTCCTCACCCATCATGGCTTCCCTGAGGGCTGTGGCCTTCCCGTGCCCCACATTATTGCTGCTTCCTGATCAGGTCTCTGGGGCACTAGATGGGCCTAGGGAAGGCACTGGGCTGTGGTAAAGGGGCAACTCCCCACTTCTGCTAACCCCTTGGCTAGGACGTGTAGGATTGAGGGAGATTGTCTCATCATCTTCAGGGTGAAAGCTGTCTCATGACAGCAACCTCTCAGTAAACAGAGTTTAAAAATATGAATGAACCAGATTAGATTAAGTTCCAAACTGAGGATTTAAACATTATACTGGTGAGTGGTTTTAGACGACTTCACCATTGATAAAGTAGTGCACGGGACTGCCATTTATCTGTGTAATGCTTCTTCATAGCCTGTGCCCCATAGTTGAGAGATTATTGTTATGTGCTACTTGCACGTGTGTGCATGTGTCTGGGGCGCTTGTTCTCATATCCTTTAATGCCTCATTTCCATGATAAGTCCAAGTCTGGAATTTCTATTTCTTTGGTTTGCTTAGCCCTAGAAAAGACACATTAGCTGTGCATCCAAATTGCTGAATAAAAGTTGGGGACCTGTAGGCACTTATCCATGTAGAATGAAAGTTTTAATTACGTGGAGTAAATGGTTCATCTGCTTTCCTTATTTTAGAAAAAATATTCTACGGAGATCTAACTTCCTTAGAACAATGCTTCACACTGAAATATATTTATGTATAATCTGTAATAATGTATTTAATAAATATACTGCTAAACATCCTCATTGTCCCTACACGTGGGTAAACTTCATGGAATAGCTCAGAAAGTGTCAAATGATTATGATCAGTGTCCGCCACATGTGTTACCCTGTGATGTATGCGCCTGGCTTTGTAGATAATCCAGACTAATCCTTGCCCCAGAGATGTAGACCTGTGACTGTTTCCCAAGAGAGGATTGAGGATGAGGCTAGTTGGAGAATGTCATGGGGTTCAAAGGAGGGAAAAGCATTTCAGTGAAGGGAATTAAGTGAGGCTTTGTGAAAGAGATGGTGCTTTGGGCTGGATCTTAAAGGATAGGTTGGAGGAAGTTGTTCGGGCCAGGAAGAGGCAAACACCCCAGTAAAGGCATGACTGTTTGGAAGCTGTGTTTAAAATCAGGAGTATAAATATTCCCTGGTTAAATAAGAAACTTGCAAGTTGTATGAGGGGTAAATCAGAAGAGGATGTTGCTGCTGCTGCTGACGGTCTTTGGCATACAAGGAGACGCTTTCGCAGATGCGAGGCATCAGATAACGCACTTTATATGTGGAATGGTTTCCCACCTGAAAAAGTAGGTCAGGTCTATTTTGTTGAAGGACTATTCATAAAGAGCGCTGTTGTTAGACTGTGCTGAAGCAGATGGATGTAGGAAGGCATCCCCGGAGTGCAACGCCGCCAGGAGGCCTTTTATATGTTCTCTGCGAGCTGTCACGAGGCCCGGAACCATTCCTGGGTGAACATAAGTACAAATATGAAATTGATTTGAGGAGCTCTGGTGGTGGAGTGGTTCCATGTTGGGTTGCTACCTGCAAGGTGAGCCGCTCAAAACCACCAGCTGCTCCTTGGGAGAAAGATGGGGCGTTCTATATCCCTAACAAGTGTGGGTCTCAAAACCACACAGGGGTAGTTCCGCCTTGTCCTATTGTCACTGTGCATCAGCATCGACTTGGTGGCAAGGAGTTTAGTTTTGGGTTTGGGTTCTGCGCTGTTATGCGGCTCTGAACTTTACCTGCATGAACATAAATGAAAAAGACAAAATTGATTGGATTTAAATGAGAAATCATTTTAAAATTTCATATTGCAGTCTCTGCTAGAAAATGTATGTTCTTACTCAAGTCGCGTTAGTGCTCTGGTGATCCAAAGGGCCTACAACCGGCCCTGGGTTCCTCACTGGATATGGAAAACCAGAGTCAAGAAGGCCGTGGTCTCCTTATGTGACTGTGGTCCCTGTGATTGTCAGAGAAACCAGCATCTGAGACGGCAATCTGGGAGGGACCTCACGCTCCTCCTTCTCCTTCATTCTCTCCACAGCTTAGCTCTTCCCACCTGACCAGGATGTCACGATGGGCTCAACGAATCGTTGACTTCCGCAGGCATGTGTTGTCATGAGGGCCGTGAAGTCATCAGTTCCAACCCCAGAGAGACCCTATGCACAACAGGAGGAAACACTGCCCGGCCCTGCCCCGTCCTCACAATCATTCCCATGCCCAAGTCCATTGCCGCGGCTACTGTGGCAGTCCATCTCACCGAAGACCTTCTTTTTTGCTGCCCCTTCAGCCATTGACTCCATTCCCATCCCTGACGACTCCATGTGTTACACGGTAGACTTGTTTTCCATAGAATGTTCTTTGCTGTCATCTTTATGTAAGCAGAGTGCCCAACTTTCCTTCCCAGCTTCTCTAAGCGCTCAGACCCGAGTGGACAGTTTTAAGCTATGGATACTAATCCCAACGTTAACTGTCTTTCAGATTCCATTGTGATTGGATTCTGGGTCGGTCTCGCAGTCTTCGTGATTTTCATGTTTTTTGTGCTGACCTTGCTGACCAAGACGGGCGCCCCACACCAAGAGTAAGTCTGGCCTACTCCCTTCCTACATGTCTATGAAGTCCCACGAGGAAGTGAAGAAACAAACCATTCATGACCCAGCCCGTGGGTGGATGGAGAGGAGGGCTGACGGTGGGTTTGATGGCTGGGCCGCATGGCTGCAGAGCAGGACCTTTTCCTCTTGGCATTTCGTCTCTTGCCGCGGGGGCTTGTTTTGAATCTGAGCTTGGTTATTTCCGGCTGTCTTGATGTTGACCCATGTCTGAATTTATATTGAAATCTTTATTAATGAGGGTGCATTTCCTCTTTCTACTGAAATGGATTTTTATGATTTAATAACCTAAAAACAGTTTATTAAAAAACAGCAAAAATTGAATGTAAGTCATATTTTAAAAGAACTTTTTGAGGGGCATAGAAATAGTTATTACTAGGGACTTAACTCAGTCACCCAGAATAAACATGACATTTAATGCTGACTTCTCTTGAGGCCAGACTAATAAGGGAAACATTAGGAGTTACATGTTCTCATAAAATGTGTCAGCATTTGTATTTCTTTAATTACCATGATCATTGAGTGGATTCTAGGGCATGGTAACACGATATGTGCAAGCGTACACCTGTGCTTAGGGCTTTCAGTGGCTGAATTTTTAGAAGTAGCTGGATAAGTCTTTCTTTTGTGGTACCCATGGATAGACTGGAACTTCCAACCTTTTGATTAGCAACTGAGCACTAACCATTTGCACCACCCAGGGACTCCATTTCTTTAGTAAGCATGGCGACGACATGGATGCTGTAAGAATGTTAAAGTCTCCTCCTAATGTTTTACATTGTCTCCTCCCAGCCCGCCAGCAGGGTGTGAGCAAACTGAGGGCTCACCTGCACTGTTCCTCATCGTGTCTCACCCCGCAGCCGCTGGCATCGGTGGCTCAGTCTGCAGGCTGTACGTGCACTGTTACTCGTGCCTGGAGACAGGGGGCTGCTCTCTCCCCATTCAGCTAGTGTCCTGGTATCAAGGTTTAGGGGGAATAAAGGCTCGCTGCAAACACTTTAAACGGAAGGAAATGCCATTTTGTTGGAGCGTGTGGAGACAAAGGCTGAGGCTCTCTTTAGCAGCTGATAAAAGACACCCACTTTGCGTTTTCTCTTTTCATAACCATTGGCACCTGCCTTTGCACCTATTGCACTGCTTCAGGGAATTTGAAAAGAGGGTGTAATTTTTACCAATAGTAAGAACAACTGTAAGTAAGAAGACAAGCTAGGACTGCAGCGCATGTACAGAGTGGTCAGGGGATAACCAAATCTTTTCCTCTGAGAGCAGTAGGGAGTCTTGCAGGGTCATTGAGATGGAGGCAGGTGCGTGTACGGACGAGGTCACCTGAGCACAGAACGAAGAGTGTCGACACAGAATCCAGGACAGATAACCCCTTCA